CACACACACACACACACACACACAGGCACACGGGGATGTGGGCAGCTGCCGCTCAACCACAATCAACGTGGGCAGCCTTGTGCGTAAGAGGCACAGTAAAAGGGGAGCTTCAAGAACAATGAAAGGGGTACCCCAAGGACAACCAAAAAACTGTCTAATTATAAAGTTGCTTTAATATGTTTGCAATCAGATTCGTACTCATTCACACTTTTCATGCATGTAAACAGCAACGCAGCAAACTGGCGACATGCGCCCACTCAAAACTCAGAGATATAGCATCCAGATACGAGTTCACTCTCAACTGGCTATGGCGACTCAGCGCCCAAACAACTCACTGTTCACATACACTGGATCACCCTGGATATCCCAAACGCGTAACTCTGAACACTCGCACATACACACACACACACTTCACTCTAACTACAGCTATGGCAGCTATGGCTGCCTCTACCCTATCGCCACACTAAGCTCCTTCTCTCTCGCCCACTGCGTCCTCCGGGCTCACTGCAGACCTCCTTGCACAAGTCGCTGTGGCAGCGCTTCCGCATGGCTCACGCAGGAATCCATCAAAGGCTGGGTGCTGCCTCTTGATTTATACTTCGGAAACTCGTTGGTTTGCCCTTTGCCATCGGCCCATGGTGCTCACATTTCCCCGTGGTACTTGCTGGACCGGACTGGGACTGACTGGACCTTACCGCTGACTGACTGTGGACTCACTGCTATCCTACCGAGGTCGTTCTGCGATTGCACTGCAGTTTAGTCCACCACTTGCCTCGCCACTTGACCACTTGCCCACTTGCCGACCTTCTAGAAGGGCTACAGCTAAGCTTCTGGAACTCACTAAGACTTCTACTCTATAGACCTACAGATCGAACCCCTGCTACCTACGGACCTATGACAGACCTACCAACTGTCTACGAATACACAGGTCACAGGTTCAACTCTCGGGTCTACACAGATACTGTACATGGGTAGGGTGAGGTCTAGGGATCGAACCCTGGGATCTGCATCTGCTACTGCAAAAGGTGAAAACCGTTTCATGTTGGACATCTCAAATGCTCTCGTTGTCTGCAATAGGACAAAGACTGTTTTGATTCTGAATCTATTCATCTGGATGGAATTGGGGCTGTTGTGGGGAAAATCTAAAACACACACACACACACACACACACACACACACACACACACACACACACACACACACACACACACACGTCTTTTCCTTGGGGCAAGAATCCAAGTGCGGTCAGATGGCTCGCTTCGCATAGGTGCATTTGATAAGGCCGAGGCTTGGACATTCTCTGTCATACGTTATCCTAGTGGATCCTCCAATTCCCCAGCTCATCAGCCTGCAGGTGTACTTACAGGACAACTAACGAGGTTCAAACATATTTGTAATAATACTACCGACTTCAAAGCGGCAGTGACTTCCTTGACGCGACGTAAGCTTTCAAGGGGCCATCCTCCTAGTGTCCTGGCCAAAGGCTGGACGACATATGTGCGAGGCCGGCAGCGCCGGCTACCCAGTCGAATTGGTTTCGTCGTATGGTGCGCTGGGCCGTTGCTCACCCACTGCCGAATGCACACTCGACATACAGAGACTCCTCCCGACCACATGCAGCAGACCATCACCCACTCCCAAACACCAATTATGGCTGCAGGCAACATCAGCCCTCCACACAGCACGACACAGCGGGTCTACCCCCTCCTCTTACTCCTGCTGAACTGGCAAACGCCAATGTGGATACGCCAGCCCAGCCAGAGAATGGTGCAACAGCTACAAGTAATGTATACGCTGCTGAGGTTGCTGTAGGCGATGAAGGCCAGCATCCTACCATTGCGGCTCTTGCTCCCGAAATGGTGCCTCCCTCATCACTGTCGCCATCAGCACCACCACCACCACTATCACCTCCTCCCCCACCACCGCCGCCACCACCACCGGCATCCCCACCATCATCACCACTGGCATCCCTGCCATCATCATCATCTCCGCGGACATATTCTTCTACATCATCCCCCCAGTCATCTAACCCCTTCTCTACTGCTGCTTCTTGGTCCCCTTCTTCTGCGTCTTCTTCCTCCTTTTCCTTCTCTTCCTCCCCTTCTCTACCCTCGTTGTCATCCCCCCCCCCCCTCCTCTACCTTGCCTGATTCATCATCTTCGTTATCAACACATTCCTGGTCAGATCAGCGGTCGCAGCGACCCTTTCGTCCAAGGCATCTACCGTTAAATCGGTCGTTGCAGACACCTCGTCGGCGGAGGGGTTCCCTGTCTCCACCAACATCTCCAAGACAACGGCTTCGTTTGTCCATGGATAGTATAAACATTGCCCCCTCTGCAGGGGTTCGAGATCTTCTCAGACGTTATGCCCGCAACCGTACGGAGTGATGACGTCGTGCTCAATAGTATAGAGCACTGTGCTGAAGGTCTAACACCACCAGGACGAGCTGTTGCAGAACAAATTCTGCAGCAGCTAGACACCTTTGTTTTGGATGACCCCCTCTTGCCACAGTCGTCGCCGTCGGTCCATAGAGAAGGAATCAATGCAGAGGAAACCCAAAACACTTGCTCAATGCCGTTCTGTGATGATCCACCTGAGATTCGGCTAGCATGTGGGCTGCATGCATTGTGTCATGAGGATTATGAAGGCACAGCCCGTGCATCTTTCTGTTTTCATACATTTGATGATAGTCAATATTGCACTCACGTCCGACACCCTGGCATGTCATGTCCAATTTGTAGACGGGCTCGAACGGCAATGCCTCTACAATTGCGGCCGGCGTGCCTCTGTGTTCCTTGCCTGTGGGAGCCATGTTGCCTGCGATATCTGTCTACGTCGTGCCATTCGGTGCAGCAGCTGCAACTGCGAGAATTGGATGCGATGCTTCCACAGTCCACACTCGAATCGGTGCTGTCCGGTCTGCTGGAGTGGTCACCTACCGTAGGCAACAGCTACCATAAGCAACAACTACTCATCCTGCAACCTGAACACTGATTGACGTCTCGTGTCATTCTACAGTCGTCTGCTCCAACGGTCTGTATAGAGAATCTATTGAAAACACCTCTCTCTCTCTCTCTCTCTCTCTCTCTCTCTCTCTCTCTCTCTCTCTCTCTCTCTCT